CGATGCAAGCGGCCAAGCGAGCCAACGTGAGTGCTCTCCCCTGCCCCCTCCCCGGCCCGCCTCAGCCCTCCCGAGCAGCCTGGCGGGGTGTGAGGCGAGGCGGGGTCCACCGGCGCGGAGCTGAGAACAGGCCTTCCCGCCCGGTCTGGGCTCCTTCCGCGTCCCCGGCCAAGGGAGTCCGTCTCCCTCCAGGCAGGCCTCTTGGTTGACAAAAACACGTCAAGTTTGTAGCTGTGGCGGGTTAAAAAAGGACCAGCGAAGCGCACGGACTCTCTCAGTGATGTTAGCCCCAGGGTTTAGCACGTAGGCTGCGGCTTTTAAGGTTTGAAGTGAGCGCTCTAGGTCTAACACACCGTGTGTTGTTTCTGCATCAGATTCGGCTGCCTCCAGAAGTCAATCGGATCCTGTATATTAGGAACCTGCCATATAAAATCACAGCAGAGGAAATGTATGATATTTTTGGGAAATATGGGCCTATTCGACAAATCAGAGTGTAAGTATTCTAGTTTTTTTGGGAAAGTTAAGGATATTATGTGCTTTAGTATATGTGTTATATGTCAGTATTTCTATCGCAGTAGGTAGCAACTGGATTTCACAGCTGAAAAAGGTGAATGCACTTTAGCAGTATCCCTGTGTGCCAAAGATGGATGTGATGGTATTTCTCTTACCTGTGAATTTGTTAGAAAATAATATTGCTGGTAGGTAGGGTGAAAAAGCTTGAATTTGATAAGAACTTAAATGTGGTAAAAATATTACTTATTCTCTTAAGTAAATCTTAAATACAGCAAACCTCTTGAGCTGAAAAAGGTGAATGCACTTTAGCAGCATCCCTGTGTGCCAAAGATGGATGTGATGGTATTTCTCTTACCTGTGAATTTGTTAGAAAATAATATTGCTGGTAGGTAGGGTGAAAAAGCTTGAATTTGATAAGAACTTAAATGTGGTAAAAATATTACTTATTCTCTTAAGTAAATCTTAAATACAGCAAACCTCTTACCTTAACTAAAGGTAAAAATAAGAAAGGCAAAAGTTGAATACAACCAGTTTTTGTATTTAATGAGTATTTGATACTTAACTAATGGGAGAACAGAGATGTTGCTATTGCTGCTGGACCTGTCAACCAGAAACAAATACCAGAAGCAACTCCCTGTGCATCAGATACAGCTTGTCCCTGAGCCACGTCGTCGTGGGTAATGGCGATCTGATTGTAATTTTGTTTTCAAATGCACTGAGGTTATACATGTCTATGGCAAATCTGCAGCCCTTCTCTTTAGTTACTCCAAATACTGAAGACCTGAGCTCTGATGTTCCTTGTTATCCTAAATACTGTCCACGTGCTGTGGATTAAACCATAATTTCATCTGCTTAGTATTTTGAGAACCGTAGTTAGGCTGGTTGGAGTATTGACACTCATACAAAAGGATTTTTTTTTTCCCCTTCTGAAAAATATTTAGGACGAGGAGGGGGAGGAAACAAAACTTGGTGTTTAATACTTAAAAAGAAAATGTTGTAAGTCACGTTTCAGTACGTGTACAAATAGAAAGGAAATGTAGTTTATACTTGATACGGGGTTTTTTGTACTGCTTTTATCTGGATGTTGGCAAAATAACCTGCGGCATCTCCGAGTTCTCGACTAGGCTGCTGATCGGATTAGAGCAGAATATATCCTTGTCATTTCTATCACTCTCCGTTTCCCTGTGCTCTGAGACTGGGATGGGTACTTAATCCACAACATGTTCAGTTGTTTTGACTATGCAGGATGTAAATACGTAAACAGGTAAACAGACCGAACTTTACTACCTCAAATGGAAGTGCTCATTCCAGAGCCGTAGTGATTAAAATTGACTGACTGGTGTATAGAATAAAGGGACTCTTGCGTATGGAGTTGCCTTCAGTAGACATGAAGGAGAACTAATATTTAAGGTTTCTGAAAACGTGTAGGTCGGAACAGCATGACAGCGGGACATAAAGAATTAAGACATGTCAAGGGAGCTTTCCATCAAAGCGATGTGCTGGTGTGTGCATCCAACAGGGAACTGCAGGCAGCCTCCCCACTGGTCGTTCAGAACCGCTGCATCGCTTTGTTTTCCACAGAAATCCTAACATCGTCACGAGACGAGGCATAATGTGGCACTCCCTTTGTAGTGACTTTTGTGCTTTGTGCAGTTTTCATCCCATTCTCCTCTTCATTTTTGTACGCATCCTGGTGTGGATACGTGTGATGTCGTTTGTCTTCAGGAGTTCTCTTCTCAGAAGCAAATGCCTTAGAGAGAGTTCTTCTGATTATTAAGTTCACTATAACTATCTTTTAGCTGAGATCTTCTGGATCTGCCAACTCTGTCATCTCTCCGGGCTAGTTAGCGTTATGTGCCCAGACGTGTCTCCTGTCCCTCAGGCAAAGGAAATTGAATTGATGGTCCGATAGGTGACGGTTGTGCCTCTGAAGTGGTCTTGCACCAGCGGGGCTGTTCTGACTCTTTTAAATTGACTTTGTGATGTGCCAAGAGCCGCATTGTGCTCTGGGGAGACATCTGATCCAGACAGCCGTTAACTGACAGCCTGGTCTTGTAGTATTAAATAAAACAAGCTAATCGCTGTAATAAAAACTTAAAGGATTTCCAGAAATATGACAACCCCTAACAGCAACAGCTTCTGGTAGTTGTTGTGGAGAGGTGAATTCCCTTTGGAGCATAATGCAGCCCAAGAGCTGCATTCTGCTCTGGGGAGACATCTGATCCAGACAGCCGTTAACTGACAGCCTGGTCTTGTAGTATTAAATAAAACAAGCTAATCGCTGTAATAAAAACTTAAAGGATTTCCAGAAATATGACAACCCCTAACAGCAACAGCTTCTGGTAGTTGTTGTGGAGAGGTGAATTCCCTTTGGAGCATAATGCAGCATGTGCTCTGTCACATTTTCCTGTCGTCTCTGAACTGTAAGTGGGGATTGGTGTGGAAAGCAGGGATGTATTTTACTATCTAGAAAAAAAAACAACACTAAATTGTTTTTTAGTGAAGTTGCATTAGTTAATCTAATCTCCGTCACTGCTAAGGACTAAAGGAACTATTTCCTCTTTTTTGTTTAACATTAAAACTGTTCTCGCCCGCAGTGGAAACACTCCTGAAACCAGAGGAACAGCCTATGTAGTCTATGAAGACATCTTTGATGCCAAAAATGCTTGTGATCACCTGTCAGGATTCAACGTGTGCAACAGATACCTTGTCGTTTTGTACTATAACGCAAACAGGGTACGTACGCATGGGGGGGGTTAAGTTACCTGTGAACATAGCTGGCACGAAAAGAAACTCAGTTTGAAAAAGAGTTGCTTGGATATTTTTAAGAAATAAATCCAAGCTGGTAGAGGGAATGGATTGGATGAATTGTCAGGATTTCATCTTTACTTGGTGATTTGTGTGCAAAAATGTACCTTTGGACCAAGGGTGTGAAAAAACATGCTTCTGGTGAGCGTACTTTGGAGAAGAGGGGCCTTATAACGGACCGGTTGCAACAGGATGCGAGGTCTTGTTTACAGGTTAAAGAGTCTCTAGGTCTTGATGTTCTGCCTGTTACTGATGGCGTCCGGGGTACTGTGGCTTTCTCCGAGGTTTAGCAGCGCTGTTGGTGTGTGGCGTTGATGTAGTTGGTAGTGACGTTAGTTGTGGTTACGGGGAAAGAACATGTCATAAGATGAGAGTTTTTTGGATTTTTTTTTTTTTTCTTCTCACTTCTTTTCTTTTCCTAATCGCAGGCATTCCAAAAGATGGACACAAAGAAGAAAGAGGAACAGCTTAAGCTTCTCAAGGAAAAATATGGAATTAATACAGACCCACCAAAATAAACTGATCTTTTTGGAAAACTGCAAGCCCTGCCGCTGAGTTCGACTGTTTGCAAGCCCTGCCGCTGAGTTCTTGAACTATACCTAGGAATTCTCAATGAAGTATAACTTTTTTTTTTTTTTAAATTTGATAAGCTGTAATTTGACTCTTTAGATCTTCACATTAGAATTAAATAAATGTAAAACATTGGAAGATTTTAAGCTTTCAGATTACATGCCCCGAGTGGACATGGCTTCTCCGTGTTGTAAGGGTGACCTGGTAAATGCTGCATAACCACAGCCCTGTTTCTGGCAGGGACTGAGCACGCTGAGTGTCTCGCACCTCCTGAAGTTCTGCCCGGTCTCCAGGGCAGGCTTTAAGCATGGCAGCAGTTAAGGCAGGGAGCTCAAGGGGCTCTGTACGAGCTGCCTACGAGGACCTAAATCTTGCTTGCTACTTTCTGAAGATGGAGTATCACAACTAGCCTCCCCGCCGCAGGGATTTTTGTACTTTTTTTAAAAAAGAAGTAAGCGTGGTTTGCTCGTTCATCACACCTGTGTATATTGTACACCATTTATTGCGCCTTTCTCCCTCTGGGAATGTTTGAAGGAGCTTAACTCCATTACATGATCGTTAGGCTACTTCTTACCAGAAACAAAGCAAACCCAACTGCATGTTTATAACAGTTTCTTTTACAAACTATAGAAAATGAATGGCCTTTTAAAATGATCCAACTGCTTAGGTGACTTCAGTCAAAATATCTTGTTCCCAGTGATATTTTGTTCTTTGTTCTGAGACAAAACAGATAAGCTGCAGTAAAATAATCTTGTTCTAACAGCGCGTTGCTGCAGGGCTGACTTGATGGTATGCGAGACCTTTCTTACGCGTACCGGGTTTGTACTGAGCAACAGGAGCACGCTTCACGCCTCTTAATGTTACGTAGGGAACACCTGACCAAAACGAGACAGTAGATGATGGTGGTCATTTTAGATACCCCAGTGTGATTGTTTTCTACCTGATGTATTTGAACTGTAATGTATTTCATGTACATAAATTTTAGACGTAGTATCTGGTGGAGGAAAAAGAAAACTTTTTTTTTTGGTCAGCGCTCATGTCCTGTGAATAAAAAACTAGTGCGGCACAGAGCATGCACAACCTCTGTTCTGAACCAGCTGGAAGTCCTGTGGACGTTGGCAGTTATCCTGCCGCTCGGGAGAATTTATTTGCCTGGGTGTGATGTTTAACGCCCTGACCATGCAACTTCCAGCCAGTGCAGAACATGAGCAGGTGCAAATGTAATTTGCCTGAGGATTTGTACTTTAATTTTTTTTCAGTGCGTTATACTGTCATAACGGAACATTATCCTTAGATTTTCGTTGAAATCTGTCACTTGAAAAAACATGCTGTGCTTGTGTCCATTTAGTGAAAAAATAAATGTGTGTCTACGCAGTTTTGCTGTTTTTCATCAAGGCTTGCTGTATGCTGTGCTACTTCTGCGTGTAACCTTTCCTTTTAGAAAGGAAGTCGTCGTTCGTCACCTGAGTGTTTGTGATACGGGTAAGAACTTGTAGAGCGTCTGCCCCCATAGGTACATGAATGTTCAGGCGTGTCCAGCACCTGGGTGAGGGGGAAGGATGCCCAGCTGTGGGAACCCACGTCCAGCTCTCCGGCGGAGGAGGTTCCCTTGCAGCTGCCATGTGCTGTGCACGTTGTCTCTCAGCTGGGAGGAGGGTGGCAGTGATGTGAAGGATGGCAGTGACGCTCCGAGCTGGCTGCTTCACCCCAGAGCAGCAGGGAGGAGGCAGCCGAAGTGGCTCGGGTGTGATTTCTGCTTTGTGTGGGTGCTCGCGATCCCATCCTGTGCCTGACCGGGGAGCGTCCCCCGGGGACGGGTCTCCCTGCTCTTCTGTTGCAGACAGGCATTTGGGATGGGAGCGGGTGCTACGTTTAGCGTGTGTAGTAAAAAGCCTTGCCCTTACTCTGTGGCTTTTCCATACCTGTATCCTACCCCTAAAATTGACGCGGCGTTTTGCAGCAGGAAGCCTTGCAGGCCCCAGGGAGCCATCCCTGAGGTCAGCAGCAGGCGATGGGAGACTTTGAGCCCGTTAGCAGCTGGGGCCGCCTCCCCCAACTATGGATGCGTAAACCTCTGCCGCGATGTCATTGCCGGCTTTCCCGCTTGCCCAGCCCTGTACCGCTCCTCCTGGCAGGTGCAGCTGTGCTGCATGTATATTAAATGCAAAGCAGCTGTCATCTGCTGTCGCTGTCCGTAGGTGAGCGGTTATTCCTCCTACTCTTCGTGGGTTTTCAGGTCCTGCCCATCAGATCAATACAAACCTAAGTTTCTCAGGCAAAAACCAGCTTGCCTTAAAAATTTGTAAATGAATCCTATTGGATTGGTCCAAAATCCAAATCCTATTGGAGGTCTTGCCCCTATGTGAACATCCATAGGTGTTTAAAGGTTACAGACTGCCCCCCCTGTGTGTGTATGTATGCCTTATGTATATGCCGTGTACGTACACACACGTGCCAAACGCTAGGGTAACTGGGGCCGTTTACAGCAGTTGCTGGGCATTTAGAAGGCCCCTGGTGTAACGGGAACTGGAGGTGCTTGTTACCATGCTGGATTTACGCTACTAATAAATAATAATAAATACTGATAATAAAATACCAAAGTGCTAATAATGGTGCCACATTCTGCCAGCTTTGTTTAAAATCATATGCAAATACCGCATTGCTTCTGTCAATAGCGGGGAGCATGGTGCTTGCACTACGGCATCTGTTTTGACGAGGATTTGATGCTGTTTGAAAAACATATATAAAAAGCAATTCTTTAGGGTAATAAGATTAATAAAAATTCCTTCAATGAATCCTCAAGATCAGCAGCTTTTGATTTCTCGGAGAGCTCAGCTGCTGCCTTTCATTAAATATTCCATTTCATACTTCTTCTTCTAGTGCCTGTTCAGGGCTTTCAGTGTCCCTGCACATGTAAAATGAAATAATAATTTGTACCTGCAAGACAGAGGGAATGGAAATTGAACGCCTGGAGGATTGTTTTGATGAGGTCTGCTCAAGATTTTGTTTGAAATGTAATATCAAAGGACAGGGAAATGAGTTCAGTTATATGAATGGCAGAGGGGGCAGCAAATAAGGCAGATGTTACCAGCCTCGTACTCTGCATCTGTGCTGGTTTTTGTGTGTGCTCACTTCCCATTTAATTTTTCAGGAAGTAGGGCATGAAATTAAGCCTGGAAGGTCATTTTTTTCCATCGATGCTGTTTAGAAATTAGTAACAAGAGCCTATCTGATTACACAGGCAACGACAGTAAATTTTTCCCAATCCATTATATAGTGGTAATAATTATATGTACCGTGTTGATCGATGATACAATTAAATAAATTAACGCATTTGCAGTCAAATAAAGAGCTGAAGATTACATTTCCTTGAAGACTTAATTTCCCTAAGTATCACAAAGCACAATTAGTTTTCCATTCAGATTTTTTTAAATGAAATTGGCATGAAAAATGTAATAATCTCTGCTTCCAACAAAGGTCTCTGCAGAGAAAGGGTGATGAGGGAGAGAGCTTCATCAACCAGCTGTAATAAGGATTTTACAGACTCGGTAATGGCCGCGTTGTACTGCTGAGGGCAAAAGGGAAGTGCACGGCAGCTCTGCAGATGGAGATGATAAGACTGAATATGATCAGCTCTTAAAGCCCTGCAGGAACACGTTTTTCACTGGTAAGAAACCTACCAGAAGCCGAGCGGCAGAGCGGTGCCCTACCTACTGCTTTAGATGCAGCAGAAGCTTGCCAACAGCAGGACCAAGAGATGATGGAGGGAACATGCGGCCATTCTGGGTACGCCGAGCCAATCCTTCGCATCGCTGTTCACTTTCGAGGCACTCAAGAAAGGTCCCAAACCAGGTCCTTTACGTTGTTTTTTCTTTTTTTTAATGAGTAACTAACTTAAACTGGGCCATCGGTAGGAGCAGCTTTAGACCAATGTGCTGAGTCGACCTGTGTTTGACAGGCGCAACAGGGCTACGTTACGTTTAACCAAGACATCTATAGGAGCTCACGGCTGCAACTGCCGCAATACAGCCTGCGCTCTGTAACCCAGAGCTGAAATCAAGACCAGGGACAGAGGCCGGGGCAGTGGCAAAGGAGACCAGGGCCCTTAAAAAGGATTTGGGAGAGCTAGTGGGCATCAGACCCTGGCAGGTCCAATTTCCTATTTTTTAACAGGAACTTAGCCTGTCCTAAATAAAAGAACTGTTAGTGAAACGTGGATGTGTAACCTCACTGCTGCAGTGATGCCAGATCTCCACCAAAAAAAGGGTCCCGAAAGGCCTTTCGTTTCTTTACAGAGAGGGGAGCAAGAAAAACATTTACTCCACCAACCCTCGGTGAATAGCAGTCTGTAAGAGATGGGGTTTATGGGCTTATTAGTTAACAAACTCAAATGCAGCTTTGTGGGTAAAATGAACATCTAGAGAAAGAAGAGCGCGAGCTGCAGTCACTGGCCAGATTGCCAGTCTTGCTTTTCTGTGCTCCTTTTCTCTCTCGTCTCCAGGAGGTATCGTCTGGAGACACCTACGTAGCTTTGCGGTCTTTCTGCTTGTGCTGGGTGTGTTCTCCTTACACACTCACACAAGGAAATGGCTCACCACCTGCTTGAAATGCTTCCTTCAAAAAATCCATTAGTTGAAAACCATGCAAATAGTTTATAGTCAAGTTAAACAAAAATAACATCGTGCCCCAGTGATGCTCTTTTTTCCTACAGCAGAGGGGAGAAATCAAGTTTAGGCAAAGCAAAATAACAGCAAAGAGGCAGCATCGCTGATCGGGTCCTGCTCCTAAAACCGGGTAAATGACAGTCTACGCATCTTCCCGCCTCCAGAGGAGGAACCAGCATTTCGTGAATTCATGTAACCAACAAATGAAACAAATATTGCTCAGTCATGAGTGCCAGGAGCCCAGCCACAATGCAAGTTTGCAGGCTATGTAAACAGCATCAGGAGGTGCAGCCTAAAAGAACCCAGTGTGATCAGTGGCCACATCACCCCACGGTTCAGGTTTGTTTTCTAAGGTGGATGCACATACTTCTGCTCTTCTCTGGCCTCTCTCAGCTCCAGGAGAAAATTTTACACTAGTTTTACTGTTGTAAAGGCATAGAATTGGACCAGCACTGCATGTCTTTGAGAAGCATCACTTTCCATCTCTTCAGCAGCCAAATTTTGGCCAGAGTTGAGGAGCCACCAGCAGGGCAGAGGAGATGGAGAGTCAGGAAACCTCTCTGTCCCAGCAGCCCTTACTTGCACGTTCCTGGTACCTCTGGTCCCCCAGAGATCTTCCACTGGGCCATCTACAACAGAAGCAGTGCATGGAATTATGTGTATTTCATATAAGAAGAGAAATAGTTAACAAAAAATGGGTTGATGATTGTTTGAAGAACTTCTTATACACCAAAAAGAATTCCAGTGGCCAGAGGAGAAAAACAGGAAAAAGAAACTGTAAAGTATCAATATTTTATTGTTTTATATATATACTTTTAAATCTTAAATGAGACAGTATTTTTTAAAACAGCAGCAAGCAGAACGTACAAGTTGAGAAAAGTGGCAGCGCAGGTAACTCTGTTTGGCTAATGCCCGTTCATGTACAAGGCGTACATTGGATTTTTTTTTTTTTGAGCACCTTTTGTGGTTTTTTTT